AACACTCAAAAAAAATGTTTGTTTAGTATTTTAACACTACAATGGCAGACGCATGGCCAAAAGTTTGTGGACACCTGCTCATCCAGTGTTTCTTCCAAAATCAAGAGTATTAAAGAGGAGTTTGTCCCCCTTTGCTGCAGTAACTTGCAGTAGTCTTTACTCTTCAGGGGAAGCCTTTACACTAAATGTTCCTGTAAGGATTTGATTGCATTCAGCAGTGGGAGCACTAGGGAGATTATTTTATGTTGGATGATTAGTTCTGAATCACAAACAGCACTCCAATCTATCAATGGTATTGGTTGGTGCTCCATCACTCTAAAGAACACAGTTCTCTGGTTCCACAGCTCAGTGCTAGGGGCTTCATACCCCTCTAGCCTACGCTTGGCATTGGACATGGTGACCTTAGGCTTATGTGTGGCTGCTCCAAAGCATCCTGTTTTATTGTCAGTGCTTTTCTATAGAGATTATACAAGCTGTGTGTGCATGTAAACTCCTGTGTCAGCACCTTAATGCAGCTGAATTCACTAATATGAAGGGGTGTCCACAAACTTTTGGACATGTAGTGTATATTGCACTGTGTCTCTAATGGGGAGTGATTCGCATGCAGCTTACATCCTTGAAATCACAGCTGTGACCAACTCATAGCTGTGATGATGTTCATAACACACACCTGTTGGTTAAATATGTGTAAATAAAAGAATAAATTGAGCAGAAAACGTCAGATTGTTAAGCATGTGAATTTGCTCACGGTGGACGTTCCCGCAGGCTTTGCTTTAGCTCAGTGTTTTATCTGCTAGCTGAATGAGGCGAGTCTTTGTGTCGCTTTGGCATTATCACCGTAGTGTTAATGTGCTGCTCTACAGATACTGTCACACCCTCCGACAGTCATCTGAAACTAATGACCGCCTTGTATCTCACGCACTCACTAGCATTTCACATGTACGTGTAAATGGTACTGTTTTAAACATTAAGATACCCTTTGCTGCCATGCGCTTCTGTTTTCTGCTAATTTCAATGTGATAGGGCATCATTTGTTACACAGAGTTTGAGTGAATTAGTTACACAGTGTGGTGCGCAGTGTGCTTAGTCAGTGACAGGCCATGCACTACCAGGCAGGAAGCCACTTGTAGTGCGTAGTAACTGCCAAGAGTCTGTTTGCATGTTTAGACTACCAGTTGAGGAATTTAAAAAAAAAGCAATTAGTATAGTGTAATGTTTATTTGAGAAAACTGAAAAAAAAGACTAGAAGACAACCACAATCATCTATGTTGTAGCTCTGAAACACCTGAGGTCACCCAGAGGCCACATCCTTGCATCTAAAACATGCAGAGATATAGCAGTGGGAGGATGGTCAGGTACACTGACCAATTCCCAAACACTCATAACTTTTTTTGTTTTTCTGTTTATTTTTATATGAGCTGTTTGGTCTTATTTTGCAGCATTTTCCACACTGAGTAATGTGATGGTGTAAATATAGACTTTTGGCTCTACAGTTTCTTGTTTACTTTGTAAACACAGGAGTTAACTGTTATTAGTGCACCAGCTATAGATATTACACATACACTTACGTCTTTGTGCATCTGCGTTTTTTTGCAGCATGCATTGTGATAGTTTCTGATATCACTAAATTTTTATCTAGGCTTTGTTATTGATGTGTTTCAGTAATAGTAAAGGGGGCCTAAGCATGTTCTAAGTTAAAATATATTACTTTAACTAAGCAAGTGTATTACTTAGAATTAAAATGGTAGTTTGCAACTAAATCTAAGCTGTTCACATTGTAAACTAAGCAGAGGGTTTGCATAACCAGTATCTAAAGCTGTACCTAGAGTAATGTAGTAGCTTAGTAGCTTTATATAAACTATTGGGCCAAAATTATATGGACATGGAGTTCGGGTTTTACAACCATATGCATTGCAAACAGATCGCAGGGAGACATGCAGTCTCTATAGAAAAACATCAGCAGTAGAATAAGTGGGTTGTACTGAAGAGCTCAGTGACTTTAAATATGGCAGTGTCATTAACACAAGTCAGTTTGTGAAATCTCTGCCCTGCTAGATCTGCCCCAGTCAACTGTAAGTGCTATTATCGTAAAATGGAAAAGTCTAGGACAACAGGACAAAAGGGCAACAGCTCAGGCACAGGGTGGTAGACCACATAAACTCACAGAGCACGGCTGCTGAAGAGTGTAGCACATAAAAACCATCTACTCTCCATTGCATCACTATCTACAGAATTCAAACTGCCTCTGAGAGCAACATCAGCACAAGAACTGTGCATTGTGCTTCAAGAAATGAGTTGGGCATGCAGCTGCACACAAGCTTAAGATCACAATGAGCAATGCCGTGTCGGCTGAGATGGTGTAAAGCTTGCCACCACTGGAAGCATGTTCTCTGGAGTCGACCTCACTTCGTGCAGAGGGACACAGTCATAGTAGAACAGGAAAGGCACAAAATTGGAAGTATATGTCCAAAATGTCTTTGAATACTGTAACATTAACCTCTTACATGGCCATGGGCCTGCCGACCCACTCAAAGTCTTATTACACAATTCTAAAGCCTACGAATAGCTCAACCCATTTGCCCTGAAGTCCCTGTAGTTACTGAATAATAAGCCTTAGTATTGAATAAGTCTGGGATTTTGAGGAGTTGTCATTACCCTTCACTGTAACTAAGGTGCCCAAACGCTAAAAGACCATTATCCCTCCATTAACCACCAAACTTTACTGTTGGCACTATGCATTCTAATAGGTAATGTTCTCCTGGCATCTGTCAAACTCAGATTAGTGTATCAGACTGGAGAACATGCTTCCATTGATGGCATGCTTTGCACCATTTCAGCTGACACAAGTTTGCATGGTCTGCCACCCTGTGCCTGAGCTGTTGTTGCTTCTAGACTCTTTCATTTCACAATAATAGCACTTACAGTTGACGGAGGCAGATCTAGCGGGGCAGGAATTTCACAAACTGAATTGTGGTGATGACACTGCCATAATTAAAGTCTGAGCTTTTCAATACAGCCCACATATTTTACTGCCAATGTTTGTCTATAGAGATTGCATGTCTACCTACAATCTGTTTGAAATGGGTGTGGCAGAACACCTGAACTCAATAATTCCATATAATTATGGCCATATAGTGTATATATACTTCTACACTACTATAGCTACAGCTTTAGATACTGCTTATGCAAGCCCTTTGCTTAGTTTACAAGGTTAAAGCCCTGACAGCTTGCCAATGCCATAAAGCAGCAATTTCTTCCATTCAGTCTGGACTTTTCCCTTAACAGTGTGATCTCTCTATGCTGTTGTCACATTTGTTTAGATAAGAGAGGCATGTAATTTAACAAAATTGAAAATTCTTAGATTTCGTTGCAAACTGCCGTTTACCACTTAGTTAAAGTAATGTATTTTAACTAATAATACACCATCTGCACCTACCAGGTGTGTAACATCTTCAAGTCCAGGCAGAACAACTGGCTCCTGACCAGGTTACCATTACTCAGGTGAAACATATCAGTGACAGTGATCTGAGAAACTATCACAATGCATGCAGCAATGAAGGCAGGTGCACAGAAAAGCTCCAGTTCTACATGCTGATCCATTTTACTTTGGGCACCACTGACATGCACATGTTATAACTATTCTGTAGGCAGATTTTAATAGTTAAAGGGCACAACAAGAGTCTGTACATGTATCGTCGGTGATTAGTTAGGTTTGATCGGAATTAACCCCTTAAAGTTTTACTACACACTTCTATAATCTAAGAATAGCTCCATTAGTTTGCATTGAAGTCCCTGCAAATACTGAATAATAAGCCTTTGCATGAAATAAACCTGGAATGTTAAAGGGGTTGAACAAATCTAATCACTAATCTTTCTTTAAGTGACGTCAGTTTGCCTTTAGGCTGAGGTAACTGTTGGTATGACTGGTCTTAGCAGGGCTGAAAAGCTACACAAATGAGCACCTTATCTGTAATGCTATACTTACATTGTGATGGTAGATGGATGACAGCAGACTTTTCTGTGGAGCAGCAACAGAACAGTTCAGTTTTCCCATCTTGTGCTGTCAGCCGGAATCTGGAATAGCCAGATGTTGGTTTTTCTGGAGGAATGAATGCTCCTATTTGTAGGGGTTGAAGTCCCTGTGTACCAGTTCATATACAATAAAATACAAACGTCAAGAAAAACCTACCATTTGATATATTAGCAAAGCATATATTAGCAAACATGTTCCAAACATGGACGCACCATCGTCCTGCATATGAATAGGAATGTTGCTGTTATTTAAGTAATGATATCAACATGACAGACTACAAGCCTGAGATCATTTAAACATAGTCTGTGCTTTTTATGCATTCTGGAGTCAGATGAAATCTATACTTTCTTCAGGAACTATCTTTAGTTAAACCGTCATTCTGCTGGGTTTCACGGAATAGAGAAATTAGGGATAATCCTAATAAAGTCAGCAGATCTTGGTTTGGTTACTGAGAGTGAAGTTAAGGTTGGGTTTGAGTGTTGGCAAAGCAGTATTGAGATACAGTAATACGTGAAAGCTCGCCTTAAACAAGAGTGTGTGTTTGTGAGGCTGATGGGAAGTAATAAGTGAAGAAGCACTTAAAAGCCATTAGGATTGCTTTTTTTTGTGTTTATTTTTTAAAGATATTGAGTTTGCAAGAGGCAAGATTTTTGGGAATTCCATCAGCATGAATATTTCACGACAGGCTGGGGACAAAACAGTTTCGGTTCAAGGCTGAATCTCACCAATGAGAACAATAACCATAACAATAACTGCAGTGAAATAGAAAAATGTAATTCAAACAAACGGTTTACAATTTCACATGATGAGAATGGAAGAATAACAGTGGTAATGATAGCCTTCTTTTTAATAAAACAGCAATGCGTGAATGTTAGAAGGCACTTACAGCTGAAAGGAAAAAGGAAAGATTTTTAGATCTTTGTGTTTGTCATTCTCCCTCACTAAAGCGCTCTCTTTTCTCCTGCAGTGGGAGGAGGTGAGCGGCTATGACGAGAACCTGAACACCATTCGCACCTACCAGGTGTGTAACGTCTTCGAGTCCAGTCAGAACAACTGGCTCCTGACCACTTTCATCCAGCGGCGGGCTGCCCAGCGGGTTTATGTGGAGATGCGCTTCACAGTGCGTGACTGCAGCAGCATCCCACGTGTGCCAGGCTCCTGCAAGGAGACCTTCAACCTCTACTACTATGAGAGCGACCAGGTAGGGGCGTGTTGGTATAAAAGGGAATAACGTGTGTTTTTTGGTATGAGTTTTACCATAGAGTATAAATAGTGGTCACCAACTCTATTTCTGGAGGGTTCCTGCAGGTCCAACCCTTATCCACCACACCTGAACTAGCTGATAATTGTCAGGACCTGTATTAGCTAAATCAGGTGCCCGAGATTTGGCCTGGAGTTAAACTCTGCAGGAAAGTAGATTTCCAAAAAGAAGGTTGATGACCACAGCAGTAAAAAAAATCAAAAAGGCTGTTCAATTTGAAGTTTGACTGGAAATGATGAAGAATATTGATTTTGCTCATTAAAACTCTTATTGGTTCTTTTAGTCAAATAATTTATTATTCGCTTGTTAAAAACATAAAGTACTTTGCCCACCTCTATGACCAGGTCATCGCCACCAAGGGAACAGCTTTCTGGATGGAGGCGCCCTACCTGAAGGTGGACACCATCGCTGCTGATGAGAGCTTCTCACAGGTGGACTTTGGTGGCCGCCTCATGAAGGTCAACACGGAGGTGCGCAGCTTTGGGCCTCTCTCCAAGAACGGCTTCTACCTGGCCTTCCAGGACTACGGTGCCTGCATGTCCCTGCTGTCCGTCAGGGTCTTCTATAAAAAGTGCCCCAGCGTGGTGCAGAACTTTGCAGTGTTTCCTGAGACCATGACCGGCGCAGAGAGCACATCGCTGGTCATCGCACGTGGCATGTGCATCCCAAACTCGGAAGAGGTGGATGTGCCCATTAAGCTCTACTGCAATGGAGACGGGGAGTGGATGGTTCCCATTGGCAGCTGCACCTGCAAGGCTGGCTTCGAACCAGACAATGGAAATGTCTGCAGAGGTAGGAACCTGTGTTTTAGGTGCTGAGTTAGCTATCTGTCTTATTAGCTAGCTAATATGTGAAGATTAAATTATTAAATCTCTCTCTGTCTATCTGTCTCTCTATCTGTCTCTCTATGTCTCTCTATCTGTCTCTCTGTCTGTCTGTCAAGCGGTCGAGCCGTTGAGCTGCCGAGCTATCTATTGTGCTTTCTCTTGAGCTGTCTGTCTAGCTATCTATTGAGTTATCTATCTATCAAACTATCAGTCTATCTGGATATCTATTTATTAGGCTATTAAAACAGGCTATCTTGCTACTGTAGTTAACTGTTAGTTAGATATTTGGGTGTTTGAATGCGTAGTTATCAAAGATTGATCAGTAAATCTATCCAAATCTATCTAAATGTTCTGTCTATCAATCAATCAGACGTCTATCTATCTGTCTATAGCTAGCTAGATATCCAGCTGGCTAGCTACCGTATTCACCTTAGATATTTTGGTATTTGAATATTTACATATCACTTATCTATCTATCTATCTATCTATCTATCTATCTATCTATCTATCTGTTAGATATTTAGGTGTCTGAATATGTAGGTGTCACAGATCATCAGTGAATCATTCTGCTGGTATTTCGATGAATTTGATGAATCTAAATATCTGTCTTTCTGTCTGTGTATCTAAGACTAATGCAAGCTCTGCCCTACAACGAATAATTTCCTTTTTATTCAGTATTGTTGACACTAGATTTGTAGAATTCGACACAAATCAACTGTAAACCCTTAGAAGTCTAGGTATTACTATCATATTAATGGAATATTTAAATGTAAATACACAATTACGTAATTAATTACATAGCTTATTTACACAGCTGAATTACGTCCTGTATTTAAAGGATTGAGCCTGCAGTTCTAACTTCTCTCCAGCTGTTTCAGTGTCATAATTGCAATGTGGCAAAGATAGAAAGGGATGCTTTTCTTTCTGAAAAACACTGTACTATTGTAACAACGTCTGTGAAGTATTTGTGCAGTAGGGGTGAAAAATGCAGAGCCTGATTCTGTTAGTTCTTGTAGGAGCAGGGAGTTGCATGGTGAGCCAGTCTCTGCTAATGAGAGTGCAGGCAGTGTGTGAGTTTCTGTGGAAAACTGGAACTTCAGCACTTGTGAAGTGAGAAAGGCGGAGACACCGGGTGTGAGGGTCTGAGGTTTGGTCATAATTGATGCCTGTATGTGGAGGTTCGGTTTTCACTTAAATAATGCAGAAACATCTGGTCCTAGACTACCTACAAGTAGCAGAGATAATTTGAACTGAGGGTATCGCGAGCCACACACCTATGTTTTCTTTATTTAGCTAAATAATTTAAAATACGTAATAAAACGGCCCAGTTTTTGCCAGTTGACCTTTCCATGCTTTGCCCACAAATACGTTTTCATGTAGCAGAAGATTGAAAGTTCAATAGAGGACAAAAGAATGTAGATAAACGATGTTGGTGACGTCCAATTATATAAGATATTAAACAATATTTTTCAAGTTGTTTTGCTTTCATTTTTGAGAAACCAAGAAGACACGCACACGCGGCAGAAAGTGGCACCGACTCACTCACTGACTCTCTCTTACTCACTCCTGAACTCTCACAGTCTTTCAGTCTGTCTGTTTCTTTTTATCTGCCTCACTCCCTCTCTCTCTCTCACACTCTCTCTAGCCCAGTCTCTCTCACCCACCCATACACACTTACAGTCAGTTTTGTCTCTCCAGGTTGTGTGATTATATATCTGATCCTGTGCTGCTGTACTGAGTCCCCCAGGTTCGTCCCTGCTGGCTGTACTGAGCATGCTCAGAACTGATAAGATTGATTGACAGGCAGCTGTTGTGATCAATACTCAGATAAAAAGAGAAAAAATACAGTAGTCCTTGGACCAGAAGACATTGACTTTGAAAAGCACAGAATCCATATGTGCCCACACACACACACACACACACACACACACACACACACACACACACACACACACACAGAGCTGACTTACATTACTGTTTATTCACTGAATTGAACATATTGGAAAAAAAAATGAAAATAAAATGGCAAAAAGTTTAGTACATTTTATATATATATATATATATATATATATATATATATATATATATATATATATATATATATATATATATATATATATTTCAATTTACTGCAATCAGCAAAACTGCCATTTTTAAGTTTGTACCTTGTTATCACTGTATTAACTTGGAGACCTAGAAAATTAACAGAACATGTGATTTGTCCAGGGGCGTTCGAACTTTTGCTTATGACACACCGTAAAGAGAAACACACACACACACACACACACTTGTGCATCTAGTCCATAGTAATCCTCCGGCAAGGTTTTCGTTATCGGCAGAGCGATGCTGTGGGAGTAAAGAAACACATAAACCAGAGACACACACAGAACTCTGCTGAAGCAGAAGCTCCTCTGCAGATCTATTTTTAATCCGTGGCGGTGGTTTGTATAGTCTGTGTACAGGAGCTGCAAGCAAGAGGGTGTGTGTGTGTGAGAGTGAGTGAGTATGTATGTACAGCACTGTGTAAACGTCTTTAAAAAAAGGAACTTTAGAAACACTAATATTAGAATAAATCACAATAAGCGCAGTGTGTTCACTTCACCGTTTCCAAACCTCTCCTCTAGGAAGCCCATTATGTTTTGTAGTTATCATACAAAACCTGGTTTGGTTAAAGGGAACCTATTTTGTTCATTTTCACTGTTCATAAGTTTGTTTTGGTCTATAAGAAAAAACGTACATGCTTTTCCCAAAACACACTATTTTTACATTAGATGTATTTTTTATACATCTGTATTCACCCTCTGTCTGAAACGCTGTGTTGGAGCACCTGTTTCTTTAAGCTGATGGCCCGATGAGGCCAGTGTGCTCTGATTGGTCAACTGCCACAGCAGCATTCTGCTGCAAGTTCTGCCTCTACACAGCAGTGGCTGTTCTTACAATAGGCCCTGTTCACATTTCCTCATTTTTCTGCTGGAAGTTGTCATTACAGGCTAACACTGCTTCTGCTAAAGCAACAACGATGATTAGTAGAGCATGTACAGCTCACTCGAGTGTTTGAGTTTGAAGCAAAAACAGCCTTTTCTCAGTTTCAGGGGTTTGTCAGCTGACAATGAGCAGAGAGAAAAAAATTTTTTGTGCAATTAACGAAGGAATAAACTTTGTTGTACAGAGGAAAAGAACCTCTGTGTCAGCATTTCACCACTGCTGTCTAATGTTAATGTGCAGTTTGTGCTTTAAAGTTGCTGCTACAGCCGCTTTCAGAGGAACAGTTTTCATTTTCTCCCTCAAAAGCTGTCGGTATCTGAGAGAGCGAGCGCTCGGCAAGGAGTAGATGTTCATTCACTGAAGCCAGTGGTTGTGTAAAATGTCTACAGTGGTGCTACTGACTATGACAGCCTAGCATGCCCCCTGCTGGCATGTGTGTGTGTGTGTGTTTAGCTTTTTGCCAAGTAGTTTATTGTTACCGAGCTGTTATTTTCACCTATTCATCGATTTTTATCACACTGAAGACGTTATTGTACTCTGATTGCTGTGCAGGAGTTTTTCACAAAGCATTTAGCCGTTATTTAGTTTGGACACTGTTGTGTGTTTGGCATTCTCCAACCATTCTTTTTAATTATATTAAAAAAGTAGAAAATCTAAAACAATAATTAAAGTGTAACTAAAATGTATGTAAAAGTTAATAAAATCAAAGGATAAATAAAACAAAAGGAAGATGAGTTTAATAAAAGGAAACTAACATTTCAACGCTGCTGACCAACGTTAATGTGTAGTTTGTGCTTTAAAGCCGCTTTCAGAGGAACAGTTTTCATCTACCGGCAAGCTTGGCACGCCTCACACAACGCACAGAGAGCTAAAACAGTAAAAACTGCTCCTGCTCCAGTCTAGCTTGGGAAGGTTGATTGACAGAATCAGGCTCAAACTGATACAGCAGAACCGAGGCCATAGGCCCTTTTCACAAGAAAAGAAAGTGTGTGAAATGACTGAAATAATAATTAAATAATCATAATTAAAACTAGAAAAAGAATATGAAAAATAAAGAATTAAGTAAATGGGAAAAAATAAAATCACTACAAAAATTAAAGTAAGTTTACCAGCGAGCTGAGCTTTAGTGTTTCCTGTAGTGAGTTCCAGCTCGCTGGTGCTCTGGAACTAAAGGCAGATTATTTTTCCCAGTTCAGTAAAAAATCTCGATACCTGGCATGTGATCCAACCACTGGAGCGAGTCTGTTAATTACCATTATTTAAAGACATCATTGAAGTAGTATATGCTGGCATATGGCTGGAGAGTGTTTTATAAATAAAAGTAAACCAGTGTGTTTCCCACCATGCTGCTAGTGAGGGCCAACCAACCTTTTTATATATGTTTAACTTAATAAATAAGTCCACGTGATGGCTGGGGACATCGGAGAGAGAAAACTGGAACCAAAGCTGTGCTCTCACAACATCTCAATTTACAAGCAATGCTTTTACTTCTTACTGCAGTGATGTTTGCATTTATTCTAGTGTTACACAGTGTTTTACTGGTAAAACACACAGCTGAGATGAGTAGTTTCAAACAGTGTGCTTAAGTACACAGTGCTGCATGTTTAGACTCTGTTTTTGATGTGTGTGTTAGTGCGAGATCTGAAGTTTATTTGTTTGCATAAACACTATTTTATGGTATGTGGGTCAGTGCAGTATCCACACATGCGCCTTTGGTATGGTATATGGTAGGTGTCTGTTTACTTTGAGCATAGCTGGAAGCTATTAAGCTGTGTTTGTATGTATGGATGTGTGTGTGTGTGTGTGTGTGTGTGTGTGTGTGTGTGTGTGTGTGTGTGTGTGTGTGTGTGTATCAGGATCATGTGATGAAGCTGCAGTAGGCTGCGTGCTTCTGGATTAATGATGTTTTGCGCAATGAGTCTCCACTAATTAGTGCTGCTTTGATCTGAAGGCTTGTATAAAGGCGTTTGATGGGCTAAT